AAACTGGAAATGGCAGTACTCACCATAACGGACCGGACAGTATAAATTCCAAGCGGAGTAGAATAACATCGCTTCATCGGAGGCTCCACTGAAGATGTCACCTAGCATGGTGATGAAACGTCTGAACGAGAACAAGCCAGCTCGGCGAGCAAGTCAACAACCTACACATAAGCATTATCCCTGCATTGATTGTCACGGAAACTTCGACTGCAATAACATGTTGGTTAATGATTCTCACTTGAATTAAGCCCAGCTTCTTCTGGTGAGTGCAACATTTAAAATGTACATCTTGCAATGCTGCTTTCTTTGCCATACCCTGAAATTTTATTTCGTATTCTGTACACCACCTTATTTTTCATGGGTCAGCAGATCTGTGATGATCTGATCCAGGAATATCAATCCTGACACACTGGACAGAGTTTTATTTGAAGCAACCAACTCGCAGTGGTGTGTCAGGTTTTGGTTCGGGAACCTGTATGATTCACTTGTGGGCTTTCAATGTCTCTTTAACTTAAGAGTGTTAGCACCCTGACCAATCAGGGGATGGGTGAGATGATGGAATTGAATCTGTCAAAGAGAGTGTCTCCAGTGAAAGGGATCCTGGCAAGGATACAAAAGCTGAACTGTAGACCGATATCTAAGGCTTAAGCAACCATGAGAGTGGAGGGGAAACCTCGAATGGCTAACCCCTGTAGGCCTCACTCTTAAGGTCCTTGTACAGGATGTTATGGACTCAAGTGAGGTTAGATTTCATGTAGACCAGAAGAGGACAGTTTCTAAAGTTAAGCAGGTGGGATAGAAGTGGCTGGGGAAGTGAGCAGGAGCAGTCTGATCCATCCAGTTTTGGAGACAGTGGCTGTAGAATTTGAGTTTGGGTAGGTAGAGTAGCATACCATTTTAATTTGCTGAGCTGCACAGTTTGACTGTCCCAGTATTCCCCTACAGAACCTTCTCCAGGTAAGCACATTTTTCATTTCCTAAATTACATTGTGAAGCAAAACAAACCTAGACTAGAAATCCCAAGTAGCAGATAGAGCTATGTGTCCCTTCTTTCATTGTAGATTAAAAGGCCTAGAGATTTATACAGTCATTATACAAAAGATTATGCAGTTCTTAGGTGACTAATTTGCTTAACTCTGGTGAATAAAGCTACTTAGTAAATGCAGAATCTAACACCAAATCAAGAATAATGTGCCAGAGAAAAGTAGGATGCATTGGGAAGCTAGTAGTCCAGGATCTTTCGAGACCTAAAGAATATGTGTGGCTTGATTTTTACTTTGTTGACCTGGTAGGAGAAAGTGGATCAGGAAGTCTCAAGGAACTTGGAAGTTTGGATTCTCCAAAAAATAGTGCAGGTTGTTATGGAACTGATGAGACCCCTCAAAACATATTAAGAAGGTACCCTAGACCCTAACTTTTTCTTACTTTAAAGGTAAATGTGAGGTGCTGCATTCCAGATGCAATTTGATTGGTCAAACTATTTGATGTTAAGCAAAACTCAAATTATTCAAACACTATAGTTCAAATACAACAAAAGTTATTCCAAGTTCCTTTTTCTTGATTCTATTGGAAAACTTAACAGAATAATAGATTCTTTTATGACAAAACAATAACTATTCTAATATAGTAACATCCATAAACACATGCTTGACAAAAAGGCAAATTCAGAAAACAGATTGGGAGTTGCACATGAGACACAGTAGGCAGAGAACCTCCAGCTTTTGGCTGTAACTGAGAAAGGGAAAGAATAGCTTTTACTTCCTCAAGGCCCCAATAGCAACTGCTGAAAGCTAATCTAAAGATCCTGGTTCTGTGGGAGTTTGACCACACCCATTCAGGCTGCTTCTATTGTTCCAATTTTAATAAAGAAAAAGACCCAAGGCTTCACAAATTGTTTATCTTCTCATAGACTGCTTGTCACCTGACCCTCAGTCTCTCTGTCAAAGATGCCAGGACAAAACACACCTCTTAAAGCCACAGTATCGTCACAAGTTTTAATTCCATGAAGTGCCCATGATGTCACCATTCAGTTCCCTGCTCAGATGCCAGCTTGACTGCCAGGCTTTGATCCCACTCTGACAGAGAGTTGGTCACTAATGGCCACAGCCAAGTCTGAGCTGGCATTGAAGTGAGGTGATCTAGGAAAGGAGGCTGGTCCTGGAGCTGGGGAATAGATCACCTGGTGACTTTAAGAAAATCACTGGAAGCTACAGGATGGAGTTTTGGTATGGAATAGAGATCTGTGCAGGTGGTTGGGGGTTGAGGCCAAAGGTGATGCTTGATAGAGAGGAGGATTCCTCAGGCAGGCATGCTGAATCCAAGAGTCAGGTACAAAGGCCGGCAACTCCTGAATGCACCAAACCCTCTCCTGAGGAAAGCTGCCAAGTTCTTCGACATTTGGGAACCCCAGCCAGCAACACTTTAAATTCAAAGCGTTAATCATTGAGGCTTAAAACCTCATCATCATGCTTAATGTATCAACCTATCTCCTTGATACATCTTGGTTCCCTGGTCACCCACCTTCCTCCAACCCCACCACCCCCACCCCACCTTATTAATTGTGCTTGTTAGAAGCCAATAATCTCAGCCCCATGGCATGTCTACAGGAGCTCCTTGGGCCAACCAACTTAAACTGCTGTATCAAGAACTTGCCTTCCACCATCAGGTCAAAAGTTGATGATTGCTCAGCATTCAGCTCTATTCGTAACCTTTCAGATGCTGAAGTAAACCCTGTCCACATTGCAGCAAAACCTGAACAATATTCAAGTTTAGACTGGTAAGTGGCAAGATATTTCATTCCCTTAAGGGCCAGGCAATGACTGTCTCCATTAAGAGCAAAACTAACCATCTGTCTTGAAGTTTAGCAACATTACCATAGCTAAATACCCCAGTAATGATAACCTGGTAGCTGCTGTTGACAATAAAATTAACTGGACTAATTATGTAGATAGTTTGACAATAAGAACAGGTCAGAAGCTTGGAAATGTGCCATGAATAACTCAGCACCTGACTCCTCAAATCAGTCTATCATCTAGCATCTTTAAAATCTTTATCCTTCAAGACGTTGCATGACCTTACCTTCCTCAATCTCTCAAATTTCCTGTTCCAGTCAGTAATGTGATTGACAGACAAATTTGCCTGGTATTTTAAAGGAATTCTTTTTGGCAGGAGAAAGGGTGAGAATATGGGATTGGAGGAGATGGCTCCAGTTGGAGAATTAGCACTGGCACACCTATCCAATAAGGCAAATGCTGAAGTTTCCACAGTTTTACATTTACAAACCTATGAAGGTGTGTGAGGGGCTGAGCAGTGTGTAGCCTGAGAACAATAGTCACTTAACTCAATGAATGGGATCTCCTGTGGTTGGCATCTCAGTTGTGCCAGTTGTCATGCACTAACTTCCAAGGATATAATCTTTAGTTTTATTTATGGGATGTGTGCATTCCTGGCTGGGTGAGCATTTGTTGCCCATTCCTTATTGCCTGCAGAAGAGAGTGGTGAGATGCTGTCTTGAACCACTGCAGTTCTTGGCATTTAAGGATGCAAGATGCCGTTAGGCAGGGCGTTTCAGGATTTTGATCGAACAACAGTGAAGGGATGGTAATATAGTTCCAAGTTAGGATGCTGTGTGGCTGGGAGATGAACTTGCAGGTGGTGATGTTTCCATGCTTCTGCTGTCCTTGTCCTCCTTGGCGGTAGAGGTGATAGGTTTTAGAAGGTACTGTTGGAGGAACCTTGGTGAGTAACTGCTATGTAATGATCCACACTGTCACCACTGTGTGTTGGCGGTGAAGTGAGTGACCATTAAAGGTGGTGGATGGGGTTCCAATCAAATAAGCTGTTCTGTCCTGATGGTATCAAGATTCTTGAGTACTGGTGGAGCTGCACTCCTCCTCCAGGCAAGCGGTAAGTATTTCATTACATTTCTGACCAGGGCCTTGTAGATGATGGACATACATGGGGGAGACAAGAGGTGAAAATATCTAGACTTGCTTTTGCAGGCACTGTATTTTTATGGATAATCCAGTTGATTCTCTAGCCACTAGTAACTCCTGTGATGTTCATAGTCATTGAATGTGAAGGTGCAATGGTCAGATTGTCTCCTGTTGGAGACAGTCATTGTCTGCCATATGTGTAGTGCACATGTTAGTTGCCACTTTTTGAGTCCAAGCCTGGATGTTGTCCAGGTCTTGATGCATATGGACCTTGACTGCTTCAGTATCTGAGGAATTTCAAATGGTGCTGAACAGTATTCAATCATCAGTGGACATCCTACTGCTGACTTTTATGATGAAGGGAATGTCACTTAAGCAGTTGGACATGGTTAGGCCTATGAAACTTCCCTTAGGAGCTACTGCAATGATGTATTGGGGCTGAGATGACTGATCTCCAACAACCACAGCTATTTTCCTTCAATACAGATGTTGCTCCAGTCAGTGGAGATTTTTCCTCCTGGTTCCCATTGACGATAATTTTGCTTGGGGCTCCTTGATGCCACGCTGGATTAAATGTGGCTTGATGTCAAGGGTAGTCACTCTTGATCACCTGCAAACAAAATTGGAAGAAACAAAATAACAAAGACCTAATAAGTGCAGATTCAACCCTTAACTGTTGCAATGCATAATTGCAGCTGTACTCTGGAACAAAATAATCTTTTACCAATAAGAGTTACCAAACTTGAGATTAAATGCAGCAGTGAAGTACGTGATTACATATGTGTATTGGGACCATTCTGTTTCGAATAAGGCTGTTGTGACAAACTGTTTTGTGTCGATGTGTGAGCGTTTATTAATGGTGATTTTAAATAATTAATGCTGCACTCGTTGGAGTGACTAGTTATCATCTGACTAATCTTTACATGTTAACATCTTTTGTTTCTACATTTCACTTGTTGGAATTCAGTTTCTGTCTCACTGAACTACGTTTTGCAATTAATACTGTTCCATTAAATTCTAAGCAATGGGATTACTAATTCTTTTGTAAAAATATTTGTTTGATAGGTGCAATAATCTTAGACTGCATGAACATGACTTCTGAAGCTGGAAAAGTAACTTTGAAGGATGAAGAAATTTTAGCTGCTCTAGAACAGAGGTTTCCGGATCTTCCTGCACAGCAAGAGATTTTTGACACATTGCAGCAAGCAAAATTTGATGTTTCCGGTATTTACTTTATTTTTTTCCATCTGAGTTGATTGTCAATAGAGCAATGAGCCCAGTTTGCTTCCTATAATTAGCATTGTTGCTGGTAATTGCTGCTTTGAAGATTAGTAGTCGATGTTATTTTGAGGCATCAACTAGATTTTTGAATCTACTGTTAAAAATATTAATCTACAACATTTTTTCAATCTGGTAGTTGATGGAAGTGGGCCAGTTAGCTGTTTGCTCCTGATGTGAGTAGGTTCAGGCCGTTTTGCACGCTGAGCTCCATTGCCATGCAGCAGGCAAATGAGCAGGTGCCAAATGAGCACTCTTCTGCAATGTGTTGGCTTTAAGCCAGTATGGTATTGGATGGCCAAAATACTGACCTGAAGTAAAGAGAAACGGAAAAATGATGCAGAGTGGGATAAGTGCAACTGGAAACCAGAGCAGAGGAAGTTCAGGAAATTATTGGGAATTTTTGTTAAGTTTTCAATAATTTGTGAAGTATGAAATTGATCAAAAATGTACCAGATGAGTAGTCAGATGTACAAATGTAACCAGTTGATCATCCTACCAGTCACTTTGTGATTCAGAGAGCTTCGGAACGCATGTTCTTAATTACGTCGGAAGAGGAGAGTACATCATTTAGTTCTTTAGTTGTGTTCTGCCATTCATAGAGATTCTGACTGATCTGCATCTTGACTTCATCTGCCCACTTTCAGCTTTGTATCCTTCTAGACCCTTGTGTTTAAAAAAAAAACCTCAAATTTAAAGTTATTTTTAGAGTCCGGGATTACTGCTTTTACTGACGGAGAGTTTTCCACACTTGTCCTATATTTTGAACCAAAATTTTTTTCCAAAATTCACTTCTGAATTCCTTTGTTCCCTTGTCCTAGACTCCTCCATCAGATCACACATTTCTCTCCATTTCCTTATCAGTTACTTTCAAAATTCTGAACACTTCAAACAAATCTCCCCATAACCTTCTATATTCCAGAGACTCCATGTTTAATTTACATGATGTCTTCTCACAATCTAATTCTTTGAGCACAGTAACTTGCTGTTCAGTTTGCACTTTGCTTGTGAGTTATACTTAATACTTCCAGACTGCTTTTTAATTCATTCTTGAATGAGGGTATCGTTAGCTTTTATTTCCCACCACCTTCTCAAATCACTTTGAACTGCTTTGATCTATTTTGACGCAATGACATTGAAGGAATGTTACATTTCCTAGTGACAGTAGTGTATGACTTGCAGGAGAACTTTCAATTGGTGGTGATCCCAAATATCTGCTGCCTTTGTCCTTTTAGATGGAAGTGGTCAAGGGTATAGGGGGTGCTATCTAAAGAACTTTGTATTACCATAGTCCATCTGGTAGATGGTACATACTGTTGCTGCTGAGCAGTGAGTAGTGATGGAGTGAGTAGTGATGGACCAGTGATGTAAGATGTTTGATTTTTATGTATTAATACAATTTTTTAGAGTTAGGTTTTGAAGAATGTGGTTTTTGGTATGTCTCTAAGATTAACTTGTTGATATTTGCAGAGCCATGATTTTTTTTTTAAAAAAACAGTATGAGAGGGGGTTGCTGTCATGATAATAGGATTTGTTTGCTTTGGGAGAGCTTTGAACATGGACAGAGTAAATATTGAGCATTGACTAGTTTACTGTTTAGGAGGATCAGTTTTATTTTGCTCAGGATACTAGCCCATAGTTTGGGAAACTTCTGTTTTTCAGTTTAGAGCCATTGATAGAAGTCAGATGTGTGAAGCAGGAACTCATTTAGAACTGTTGGGAAATGGGTTACCGCAGAGTAAGGAAGCTTGGAAGTTCCAGATCAGAAATGTTTGGTTAGAAACTTGAAGGCTTTACTCAAATAGAGGGTTGAGAGTCTATGGTTAGTTGTATGACTAATCAAGAAAGAGGCAATGAAATTGCCACTGGTATGTGAAAGGAACAGTTAAGTTAAACTTGTAAATGTGAAAATGAGCAAACTTTCTCTGTGAAGTAACTCCACAAGCTGGTATCCTATCACCAAGTCACCTTTTATTTACATGGGGAGAGTCCATGACACTGAAACAACTCCCTCCGAGTCAGCTGTCAGAGTGAACAGGATGTCTGACACACTCCTGCTCTTATCTGTCAGCCAGGGCTCCCTGACTGGGGCTGTTAACCTGGTCCAGTCAGGGAACTCTGAGGGCTACCCGGCTGACCTCGTTTCAATCACTGCACTCTGTTTGAGTGCTGTAAAGTGGTGTTGTTGGGAAAGGTGGGATTTGTATTTTATCGCATTTTGAAACCTTTCAAATTATGTTGTATGTAAATAGCTTGGCATTAACTTTCATATTCATTTCTTTTCCATAATGAACTTCTGTTCTATTGTTAAAACCAAATCTGCAATAGGGTGTGCATGTAGTTCGGTGAAAGACAACCTGATTAAATAAAAACAAAGCAAAATATGATCTTTCAATCCAGATTTCAGCCTGACTTGTTTAGTAGTAATGTCAGCTATGAGTGAATGTTTATGGATGTGGTGCCGATTGCGTGGACTGCTTTCTCCTGGATGGCGTAAAGGAACAGGCCATTCGGCCCAATGATTCCACACCAACCCTCAGAAGAACATCCCACCCAGACCCATCTCCCTACGCTGTCCCTGTAACCCTGTATTTCCCATGGCTAATGCACCTAACCTACACATCCCTGAACACTATGGGTAATTTAGCATGGCCAATCTGCATAACTTGCACATCTTTGGACTGTGGAAGGAAACTGGAGCACCCGGAGGAAACCCAGGCGGACACGGGAAAAATGTGCAAACGCCACACAGACAGTTGCCTGAGGGTGGAATCAAACCCAGGTCTCTGCTGTGAGGCAGCAGTGCTAACCACAATGAGCTACCACGCCATCCTTTTTTTTTCGAAAAAAGTGTTTTTGAATGAGTACTCGGACAGCCAAGCTAGCAGCTATAGCTGACATGGTCAGCCACCTGAAAATATTCCCCCACCAGCAAAAGTACATTCATAGAATCCCAAAACTTCTTGAGTGTTGTTGTGGCTGCACTCATCCAGGCAAGTGGGGAATATTCCATTAAACTCCTAACTTGGGCTTGTGAATGGTGGACAGACTTTATGGAATGGGGAGGTGAGTTACATACAGTACGATCCCTAGCCTCTGAACTGCTCTTGTCACCACTGTATTTGTATGGTGAGGCCAGTTCAGGTTCTGTTCAATGGCAGCCCCCAAGGTGTTTGTGATGGGGGATTCAGTGCCATGATTGAATGTCATGGTTTTGTAGTTAAATTCTCTTGTTGGAAATGGTCATTGATTGATTGTCACTTGTCAGTCCAAACCTGGATATTGTTCAGACCTTGCTGCATTTGGATATGGATTGCTTCAGTATCTAAGGAATCAGAAATTATGCTGGAAATTGTACAATTGTCAGTGACCATCCACAGTTTTGACCTTATGAAGGAAGGATAGTCGTGATGGAGCAGCTGAAGATGGTTGGGCCTAGGACACTAACCTTAGGGACTCCTTTGGGATGTCCTGCAGCTGAGACAACTGACCTCCTACTACCACAACCATTTTTTTTTGTGCTTGGTATGACTCTAACAGACAGTCCCCCTGCCTCTCCATTTGAAATATCTCCAGTTTTATCAGGGCTCCTTGATGCCAAACAAGGTCAAACGTGGTTTTGATGTCAAGAGCAGTCACTCTCAACTCACCTCTGATTCAGCTTTCTTGTCCACGTTTGAACCATGGCACGAGGTCAGGAACAGGGTGGCCCTGGTGGGACGCAAACTGGGTGTCACTAAATAAGTTAATGCTGAACAGGTACTGCTTAATAACACTATTGATGATTTGATGATGTCCCATATCAACATTGCCATGCCTAACAGAATGATTCCATTGTTACCATGGGAGTTAAATCCAATATTTGACATTGATTTTCTTTTTAGGGAAAGAATAAATTAAACTAAGTTTATATTTCTTGGGACATGTTAATTGCTGTTACAGGACAGTTGCCTTCAAGATAAGAATTTATTCTCAAAAAGCCAATAAAAAGCATCTCCCATCAGCATTCAGCAATTGTCCTTTCTTAAGATATGAAAATGCCAACTCTGTGTCCAGTAAATATTGCCAAATGTGCCAAATCATATCATATGTTCCTGTGTTGTGCATCTCTGGATGCCCTAGAAAATAAATATTGTGGCTTCAGCTGCTTTATTTCAACTTCAGGTCTTCATGTTTCTTAATTATTTTGTCATTACAGATGAAGGCATGTTGGGGTCGAAAACTCATGGGATTGTCATTGCAATGGTGGTACTGACCCCATGAATTTGTGCATGACCCCTGTGCACGTTCAGCTAGTTCACTTGGATAAATTTATTTGGTCTCTGCCACTTGAATTGCATCCCAGGTTTGCCTTCATTGTGATATGGAAGACACGGATGCTTTTCCAGCTCCCATGCCAGCAGCTCCCTCGGGGAATCTTTGGAAGTGGCTGATGCCTCTGTAAATGTTCTGCTAATTTTGATTTGCAGCATGTGGGAATGACTGATCGGGATGTGTTTGTTCTCTTGTCCTCCAGTCCTCCAACCCCCTTTCTGTTCTGTTGACCTTGTTTGAAATCTAGAGAATCTATGCTTGGAATTTAGGAGAAACTTCTTCAACAAGATCGATCTATTGTGCTTCTACCGTGAGGGCCTAGGTTTCTCAGACCATTATGTATACTTACAATTTAAAGGCCAGTGGTTGATTTGTTTTTACATTGCATAGGCTTCTAATCAGGATAGTTTTTGAGTTGATAACTTCTATTTACAATAAATAGATTAATGTCATCATTTACATGAACGGAGGAATTTCAGATAGACAAGTTTGATACTTCTGTTAGTATTTTGAAGTATATTTTAACAGCTATTACTTGCTGACTGTTATACATGCATGATAAACTATTGGCTGTAATGAGAAACGCTATAACCTGCATAATTAGAATTAGGTTTTATTGCCATGTACTCAAG